ACCAGTAAGAACTTTTAAAATCTTACTTCACTCATGCAATAATCATAACCAATTAAAGGCATTCATCCTACATTTTTTTAAACAAAAGAAATTCTAGCTCAAAAATTCAATTCTTATTTATCTCTTCAAAAATTCAATTCCTATTTATCTCTTCAAAGAAAATAAATTACCGAAGACAATAATCAATGACATGATAGTATAGACTGCATACGCAAGACTCTTCAATGATTATTCAACTTACTTTCCCTTCACTTTCTTCTGAGATGTCGAGCATGCGCTTGCTAATCTCCTTGGAGTAAACCTACAGGATCTGAATCTCATCCTCATCGATGAGGGGAGGGGACGACGCACTCGAGACGACGAAAGAGAGGTGACAAATCGAGAAGATGGGTAGTGGGGTGGCTGGGTTCTGTAAGTCTGGTCCCTGGGATGTCAAATTGAGACGGCGAGAGATAGGTGAGAAAGAGGTGACAAATCAAGAAGATGGTGGTCACCTGAGCCGTTGTGTTGTCGGGGTGGTGAAGGGAAGGGGACGACGCACTGCAGACGACGAGAAAGACTCGATCAACAGAGTGAGAGTGACAGTAGAATTCGATAGGTTGAGGACGAGGAAACCTAAAACCAACGATTTAGATTGGATGGAGAGATGATCTCTTCAATCTCATCCGTCCATTCTAACTACAAACGGGCTGGTCCAGGTACCCGCGGTTCCTATACTTCAGGAACCAGCCCGAATCGAAAATTTCAAAGGCCCGCCCCACCTCGCCTCGTTTCTATTTTTACAAAATAGGAACCGGCCCGTACCCGCCCCGAACCTTGATTACCTGCCCCGACCCACGGTTCCTGTACCCGTTTGCCCACCCCTAACCAGCTCCAACGGCTGTTTGTCCCCTCCTCCAATCCACTGTTTTAGGTCAAAGTTTCATAAGATTTGCTAATTTATTGTTGCTAATGGATTTGGCATCTAGTACCCCCAATGTAAATTGAACACAAGAGTACCAAATAAGCGAACAAACAAAGTATAAAACTATTAATATTATAAATAGGAAAACAATAAACAAGAATGCTAAGATGTCAAAAAAACTTAAAAGGACTACAATGTGACAAACAAACATCCTATTTATAATAAACTAAACCCTAATCTCTAAACAAAAACCTAATTCTAAAGGCTTTCACAAATCCTAAACTTAAGCTCTTTGGTTCATGACAAAACAGAAGTTAGAGGTATAGTTCACTAGTGGTCACTCTTAAAAAGGTTTCTAAAACTCCAAAATCTTTAAAGAAACTGTCGATTTTCTATTGAATCATAGGGTAAACGAAATATGACCTTAATAGTTTTTTAAATAATCTTTAACATACTCTAGATGAGAAAGAAAAATAGAACAAGAAATTACGAAAATTTCAGAAGTATCCTTCAAAATTAAAATTTATTTTTGACATACTAAACATCGATAAAACGCCAAAAGACATCTTTAGTAGCAGCAAAACACCGTTGAACTCACTATTCATTTTTTTGAAAAGATATATTGGGCCCAAATTTGACACCGACAACGAAAAAATCACTATTCATCGTAAAAATAGTATTTGAACTGGAAACAACTTACTTTGTTAATGGATACTATACTTTTGCGAACAAGGTTTTTTGGGGTCACAAGCTTCACAAAAAAAAAAAGTGAACAGAAATGTCCCCCAAACAAAAAAGTTCAAAAGCAATCCAAAATAATGCACCAAATAATACAGGGGTATTTCCGTTATATAAATAGTGTTTTTTTAATAATTAATTTTTTTTTTTTGGTACAGTTTTTTTATTTTTTTATTTTTATAATTAGTACCTCACAATATGTTAGCAATAATGTGATTCAATCAGTTGTTTATCAAATATTATTTTCTCTATTTTTAACAAGTTCAAAACATTTTAAGAGGTGTATGGTGCCGGTTACAAAAAAAATAAAATTCGCACACTCATAATAATGTGATTCAATTAGTTGTCAAATGACTGTTTTTTTTTCTTTGAACAAATGATATTATCTACACTAAAAGGCAAGGTTCTAAAAGTCTCTAGGCGCTAGTCGGGCGGCGGGCTGGGGCCTAGCGTCTAGGCGGCTAGGCGGGCGCCTAGGCGGACTAGGCGGATTTAAGTAAATCTATCATATTTCAGGTAAATAAGTGTCTGCTTCTACTTGAAATATATATAATTTCATCATAAACTACAAAATATAATGCATATATATCATGAAGTATTGGAACATAATGAAAACATGTGAAATAAGGATATAATGTTTGTTCACTCAAGTATGCAACAAGTCTCTTACAATTTATTGGAAAAAAACAAAATGCAAAATGAAAGTTATGTATTTTCTATCTAAGTGAGTTGCAACCTAGGCGGGTCTAGGCGGGTGCCTAGGCAGATTAGGCGGGTGCCTAGGCAGACTAGGCGGGTGCCTAGGTGGTCTAGGCGGTGGGCTGGGGCCTAGGCATTAATCGGGGCGGTGGGCTGGGGCCTAGCGCCTAGGCGGGGTCTAAGCGGCGCTAGGCGGGGATTTTTAGAACAGTGCTAAAAAGAAGGGGGGTGGGCTTAGCCTCACCATGAGCTAGCAATATTGTGATTCAATTAGTTGTTTATTAAATATTATTTTCTCTATTTTTAAACACGTTTTAAATATCTTAAGAGCTGCATATCGCCGGTAATAAAAAAAGTCTTTCACACGCGCACAATAATGTGAATCAATCAATTATGTTATTTTCTATTTTTAAACACATAAGGGCACGTAATGCCAATTATAAAAAAAAAAAGACCTTTCACATGCGTATAATAATATGATTCAATCAGTTATATTATTCTAAAGTGTTTTACCACTATAACCACAAACTCGCACATTTGAAATAGACATCCGACATTCATTCAAAATACCTTGTGCATTTTCTCTATTTTTAAACACGTTTAAAATATCTTAAGAGCCGCATATCTCTGGTAATAAAAAAGGTATTTCGCACCTGCATAATAATGTGAATCAATCAGTTATGTTATTTTCTCTATTTTTAAACACTTAAAGGCACGTAATGCCAATTACAAAAAAGACCTTTCACATGTGTATAATAATATGATTCAATCAGTTATATTATTATAAAGTGCTTTACCAATATAACCATAAACTCGCACATTTGAAATAGACATCCGACATTCACTCAAAATACCTTGTGCTTGGCAAACCATTTAATCATTGTGATTCCTAAAGGACTTGCTCCTAATTAATTTGGCACACTTGGCTTGGGTGGTACTGGTATGGATAGGGACAAAACATTGTGTACAAACTTAATTAGACGATCAGATTTCAGTCAGGAGTGCCTCCATCCATCCAATCACGCCTCACGATTGCCACTTGCCATGCAGATTAACATTTTTGCATCACATCACGTACCCATTATTTGGAAGAAAAAAAAAATCATTGTGATCAGAATACGGATAGTACATCACGTGTTTTTATATAAGTGGTATGAAATTGCATTTTTTAAGTTATTAACTTTTTAACACGCATATCCTACTATTTGTATAATGACACGTGATGTATCATCTCTTGTTCCTGTCACATTAAAAAATCTCTTCATTATTTGAAGAATTATTTGGCGCTTGAGGATATCATATGGTGGATGAGCGGTAGTGTTTCGTTGACGTAAACAAAGGATTGGTAAGAAACTATGATAAAGTATCTGGGAATGTAAATCACAGCCAAAAATCCATAAATAAAAAAAGGATGAAAACCTTGAGAAAATGTAGCCCTGTGGCTGTGTTGGAGGGATGGAGATCCTCCTCCAAAACGTAAGCAAATCGACATCCGTCTGTCCTAGTAGATCCTAGATGGAGAGCATCTACATGGACTTGGATTGTCTGCCTCTTAGTTATGGTGCCCTTCCATGCCCTCCTATTTTGTGCGGTCACAGTTAAGCAACGTTAATATTTTATATTAATTTTTTAATAAAATAATAAGACAAAAAATAATAAAAATATATTCCCATCTACATGCCCTCTCATGATCGTTTTACACTATACATTACACTCTTTTTCTTTCCTTGCTTTCTCGTGTTTTGGAGTGTGGGACTCGATGGTCGACAACTTGGGCCATCATGGGTGCTATCGTCAAATACTTTGACCTCTTTTTTTTTTCTTTCTTCACGGCTGACAGAGGGCAGGCGTCTGTGGGATCATGAATCTAATCATAATATACACTTGGTTTGACATTTCACGAATTTTGCATTAACTTCGAAAACGGCCATTTGAATCCGTCAAAAGTCATCATCTCATGTGCAACTACAACATTGGTGAAGCATTTTGATTAGGTTCTACAGCACCACTTTGAAATATCACACATAAAATCACATGTACTAATGAAAACACAAATTAAAATTATATTTAGAGAGCAATAATAATTGCATCAAACCACTCGTTTCTTACTTGTTATTGGATAAATGTCATAGAAAATGTTACTTAGACATGTATTTTAAAGGAATTTTCATTAAAAAGACTATTTAAATTTGTTTATTAAAATTTCACCTTCCCTTTACACCATACAAACACTTTTAAGACTAATTTGTGGAAGATCGGTATGCCTTTTTATGATCCTACCACACTTACACATAAAAGTGAAAACATGCCCATTCCAAAAGCATATGATTTTTTTTGTTTTTGCAGTTGTTTGTTTATTTAAAAGAAAAAAAAGCATATGGAATAATATAGTGGAAGATGATGCTGTTGGAACAACATCATTTAGACGCACCTTCCCACCTTCCCACCTTCATCAAATCAAACAATTTTTTAATAAAAAATAAAATAAAATCTGTGTGTGTTAATATGCTGTCCACACACAACCTTTGTGTCAGTCAAACCCTTTATAATTTAGCAACATTCCGATATCTGTAATTTCCCATTGCCTTCAAGGTCATTTCTGTCAGAAAACATTTATTGGATTTCGAAATAGTGTATAAAATAAAAAAGTGTTTCGAATCATTGCCATTGGACTCGGGCCTATTCCAAAAAAACCGAGGCATTTCGAATTGTTTTGCTTGCAGAAACACCAAGAGGCAGCAGACATCTCAGCAAAAACAAAACCATTTGACAATTTGACACCCCAACATGTGTTTTACGTTTTAGGAGTTGGAGTTGCAGACAGCTGCCAATTCAGAAATTCAACATAGCTGAATTAAGAGGCAGATTAGCAGAGTCCATTAAATTTCATGCAACTTTACATATCCAATCAGTTAATTGTAGGAAGCAATTAATCCAACCCCATCATTGAAGAAGCTCTCAGAGAGGTAAAGATTTTGCATTTACAAAAGCAGATGGCTTCCCTACTGCCATATTTAATCTCTCAAGTTTTAAGCTTGCTTCTCCTTTAATAAAACCCAGAATCTCAAATTTTCATTTTTTTTTTTCAAATTTTCACTCCGATTGATCTTTGAATTTGCAGAAGGTTTGATGACTGATGAAAACCCAGTTTAATCTCAATTGGATATGATTCTCCACATTCTCCACCAAAAGTCTCTGGCTTTCATCACCGTCGTCAGCGTCCTTACCCTTTCAACCTCCATAGCCGCCATAGCCAAAGCTCAAAACTCGAGCTCCTGCATACCCACATGCGGATCGGGAAAATCAGCCAAAACTGTTCGCTATCCATTTGGATTCTCACCGAGCTGCGCAATCCCATTGAACTGTTCTGACAAAAACGAGATCACACTCGGCAAATTCAGAGTCCAAAACGTCACCCCAAACGGCATCTTCGTCAACCTCCCTGCAAAATGCAACCGTCGGGTCGAATCCGTGGCCCGACTCTTCAGCTCGAACTTCAGCCCGACTTGGAACAACAGCCTTCTCCTCCAGAATTGCTCGGCGCCGCAAAACGGCTGCATCATTCCGGCCGATTTCGTTCGGAAGCAGTTCAATTTAGAGAGCTGCAGGTCCAGCGCCGATAACATCAGCTGCCTGTCGCAGCAGCACAATCAGTCGGAGGTTATACGAATTTCGGACTTGACTCGGACTGGGTGCAAGAACTTGTTCGGGTCGTTTGCGGTTCAGTCGGGTGGGGAGTGGCCTCTCTCGCTGGAGTTCGAGACGGTGGAGTTGGGATGGTGGGTCGAGGGGCCCTGCGACTGCGATGCGAATGCCACGTGTACTACGGTGAAGCTCGGCGATGGGATGCCGGAAGGGTACCGATGTAGATGCAATGATGGGTTCGACGGCGACGGGTTCAATCTCGGGTGGGGTTGCCGGAGAGGTTAGTCATCCGGGCATTTTGATTCTTTGGAAATTTTTACTAGTCATGGTCCTTGACGAGCGGTGGAAAAGTAGACAATTCCGTTTGGGTGGGGATTTTGGACTTGGCCAATGACGTGCTACCACGTCACTATTCATGTTTTTCTATGGGTTTGTTTTGTGAGGTAACCAAACAGTTAATTAATTAAGGGGAAATGGGGTTAAATTAAATTAAACTGAAATGTGCATAGCATCACAATTTCAATCCCGGCTTAATTTTGTTCTAATCGTTATTTATACTGGTTTCCGTGCCTCTAGTTTCCGAGTGCAGTCCATCAAAGTACATGTCTGGTCGCTGTGGGGGAACAACTAGAGTTGGTGCTCTTATTGGAGGTAAACTTTCTGCTCTCTCCTTTTCAAATTTACATATGCTCAGGTATGTTACCTCTTTTTCCCCTCTTCAAATTGTTTCCGCTTCTTCCTTCTCCGTATCTCATTTTTAGACATGATAAGTCTTAAAGACACGAGTGCGTGAACTGTAAATCCACTGGTGATACAATCCTTGTTGCATAGCTGAGATATTGATCAAATATGACCGGTACTACTTGATAAAATTTCATATATTTGGTTATCTTGTGCTTTGTCTAAGTACATGCGTGGCCTTGCTTTTGTCTTAGGGGTTATTGCTGGAGCTTTCTTAATGGCCGGTCTATTTGTTCTCTGTTACTTTGTTCGACGTCGTTCAACTTGCTTGAGAAACCGAATGAGCGCAAGGCGCCTCCTAAGCGAAGCGGCAGGCAACTCTAATGTTTCATTATTCCCCTATAAAGAAATAGCGAGAGCCACTAACTGCTTCGCTGAAAAACAAAGGCTGGGCACAGGGGCTTTTGGTACAGTTTATGCAGGAAAACTCCACAACGATGAGTGGGTTGCCATAAAGAAGATCAACCGTCGAGACACCAATGGCGTTGATCAAGTCATGAATGAGATCAAACTCCTTTCCTCTGTGAGCCACCCGAATCTGGTGCGCCTCTTAGGTTGCTGCATAGAGGGAGGTGAACAGATCCTCGTCTATGAATATATGCCTAATGGAACTCTATCTGAACATCTTCAACGAGAGAGGGGCCAAGGACTTCCGTGGACCATAAGGCTCACCATCGCCTCTGAAACTGCTAATGCTATAGCTTATCTCCATTCAGAAATGAATCCACCAATCTATCATAGAGATATCAAATCCACCAATATACTCCTGGATTACAACTACAAGTCAAAGGTAGCAGATTTTGGCCTTTCTAGACTTGGGATGACTGAATCGTCATACGTATCAACGGCTCCACAAGGGACTCCGGGCTACGTGGATCCTCAATACCATCAAAACTTCCACCTCTCCGATAGAAGTGATGTTTACAGCTTCGGGGTAGTATTAGTAGAGATTATAACCGCAATGAAGGTGGTTGATTTCGCTCGACCTCAGTCTGATGTCAACTTGGCTGCACTTGCAATCGATAGGATTGGGAAGGGAAGCTTGGACGAGATAGTTGATCCCTTTCTGGAGCCAAATAGGGACGCATGGACTCTATATTCTGTTAACAAGGTGGGTGAGCTTGCATTTCGATGCCTTGCTTTTCACAGTGACATGAGGCCTTCTATGACAGAGGTGGCAGAAGAACTGGAGTTTGTCCGGCGCAGCGGGTGGGCAACAATGAAGGAAAACATATGCATGGGATCATCAGTGGCGTCGTCTTGTTCATCACCGTATAATGGAAGTGAGAAGTCATTCGGAGGTGCGACGGCTAAGAAGGCCGGTATACGAAGCCAAAGATCAATAGTTTCACTGAGGGTAGATAGCTCTCTAGCTTCCATGGAAGAGGACAAGGATAGCTCTCCTGTTTCTGTACACGATCCTTGGTTAAGTGAACAGAGTTCACCTTCAACAAATAGCTTATTAGGCAATGTAGTAAAGTGACGTCATAAAACAGAAATCATTTTGTGTGCAGACCCTCATGAATATATTAGATCTAATCTCAAAGCTAGCTGAGCTCCCTTGAGTTTTATGTTTTGATTCTCTCACACACCCTCTCAATTTTTGACCATCCGAATTGAATGAATTGAAAAAGATCACAGGACAAAAATTAACAAAAAGTGTGAGAAGTAAAAAAAGGTGTGTAGAACACCTCTAAAAATCTATAATGTAGACATTGAGTCCTCCCATACAAGTAAACAAAATTGTAATTCTTACTTTTTAAAGGAAATGTGTTTTAGTTTAACAAATAAATTTATATTTGGACTCATTTTAGGTTTTCATAGATGTCCATCAAAACAATTCTCTTCTTTGACAATAGTTAATAAATTAATTTTATGTGAAATTTAGTGTGAATGTCGCATATGTGATTATATGATGAAGCAAACCAAAATAGATTTGGTGACATCCATTGAAAGCCTTGGGTGGAAAAGTAGGGAGGTAAAATTTTTCTTCATGCATGTAAGGTTGTGTCGGATGAAAACCCTTATATATAGAGGTATGGTTGTTACCTCATTACAACACACAAGATCAAGGTGAAAGTAATAATACCAATATTCCTCCCCTCTCTTTACCTGCATTTGTTGTGTGATATAGTTACCAAAATACATAGTGTGGTACATTGCACATGTTCCACTTTTATCTCTAGCAAATGTTATCTCTATCTAACTTTTCCTTATTTTTACCAAATTCTTCTTGCCAACTAAAGTCATTACACTAGTTATTGTATCATCACTAGTGCTAGTGTGTATTCTTCTTCAATGGTAAGTAAGAGGTCTTACATTTGAATGTTGAGAATGACGAGTTTGAAACTAATTTATTCATTTACCCCTTAGTGTAAGTATATTGTTGTAGCACTTAACCACTGACTAGTTAGTATTTTAATATGGCAATAACCACTCGTTTAAGTTCGCTCTACAATGTAATTTCATGATTCAGTCCGTTCATATTTAGGTTATCATTACTAGATCTGTCACATCTCGACCCAGGCTCGACTCCACCGTAACACGATATTGTCCGCTTTGGATCCCGACCACTCCCTCACGGTTTTGTTTCTAGGAACTCACACGAGAACTTCCCAATGGGTCACCCATCATGAGATTGCTCTTGTGCGAACTCGCTTAACTTCGAAGTTCCGATGGAACCCGAAGCCAGTGAGTTACCAAAATGCCTCGTACTAGGTAGAGATAGGAATATACATATAAGGCTTACAAGATCCACACCCTAGGCGATGTGGGATCTTACAATCCACCCCCCATGCCTCGTACTAGGTAGAGATAGGAATATACATATAAGGCTTACAAGATCCACACCCTAGGCGATGTGGGATCTTACAATCCACCCCCCTTAGGGGCTCGACGTCCTTGTCGGCACACTTCCGGTCAGGGATTGGCTCTAATACCAAATTGTCACATCCTGGGCTCGACTCCGCCGTAACACGATATTGTCCGCTTTGGGCCCCGACCACGCCCTCACAGTTTTGTTTCTGGGAACTCACACGAGAACTTCCTAGTAGGTCACCCATCATGGGATTGCTCTCGCGCAAACTCGCTTAACTTTGGAGTTCCGATGGAACCCGAAGCTAGTGAGTTCCCAAAAGGCCTCGTGCTAGGTAGAGATGGGAATATACATATAAGGCTTACAGGATCCACACCCCTGGGCGATGTGGGATCTTACAAGATCATCCTTACAAAATTTCATTTGAATTAAAATCATTTAATTATTATTGTATACATTTCATTGTTTATCGACAACTCTATTATCGTCTATATGTCATATCACAATTAGATAACCAAATGGCTTCCGATTTTAGTGAATTTTGCAAGGAGATCTTTCAATATTAACCTAAAAAATATTAGTTTAGATTATAAAACATATTTTTAGTGAGTCCAAATGAGTGATTAATTTCCAATTAAAATACCAACTGATTAGCGCTTTTGGCATGCCAAAGCGCTTTTACATGCAATGAAATACAACTTGCATAGTTATTTTTTGGTTATATAAGGGTTTAAGTCAATTTTAGAGTTGAATATAACTTCTTTTTTAGCTAAATGTGGGGGTTCCACTTTTAATCCTAGAGTTATATCCGAAGTCAGAAATGAATTTGATTATATATGGTACCAAAGTCATATATAACTCCCAACTTTTTTCGTTATATTGGAGAGTAAATGAGTCAAATTTAAAAAGTCTTTTAACGATAGATACGTTTGCAAAAATGTATAGGTGGGGTGGTGACCATCCCATGCCAGAAGTGTCATCCCTCTCGAGCTAACCTCAAGGACTAATGAGCAGTGATGCATTTATCATCTATTTATATCATCTCTCTAATGAACGTAGGATCTACCAACACATATGGGTCCCATTTTTATTATAGAAACTATACAAATGGTGGTACCAATAGATTGTAAGAATAACATTTTTAAGGATAATTGCATGTATTCTTGAGATAATTATTGGTTGTTAATGTAGACTAAACCTAACTAAAGTAGAAGGAGAAGCCTTGAAAAGGGCTCATCACAAGTTATTTATTGCTCGTCTACAAAGTTGAGACAAAGTAATAAGCCCTAATAGTAATACAAGTACCCATCTCTAAAAGTTGATGATGAAGAGATGGATTAGCTAGGGATGGCATTTTGCCTTACATTCTTCGAAAGTATCCCAACACATAGTGAAAAAAGCGCAACAAAAACATATTTTTGTACCCGATCCGGTGCCCGAGCTACATGTTTCTTGTGAACAAAACGTTAAATTCTCACCATCACCTTTCACTCTTAAATTCTCCACGACAATATCCTTCTTGTTGCTACTAATCCCAATTCCTTCATCGCCTGTTTAATTAAAATATAATATGTAAATTAAAGAAGATCGAAGATCAAAAACAAGAAGAAAGTGTAATTTTCTTTGACAAGCCTATATAGAGATGCATATAATGATTTCCGCACATTTACTTCTTATATGTGGCACCATTCGGAATGTGTAAATCAAAGAACAAAAATAAAACAGAAATGTGCAGATAGAAAAAGAGAGTGCGGGGAAGTCGTTTTACATTGGGCAAGAGCCAAGAGAGCTATGAAGACCATACAAAACAAAACCAACTGCAGTTTAATTGCCATTGATGTACTTGAAAGAGAGTCGGGATACAATTTGGTGGTGATGCAAGGTCAAAATATTGCAGGGTTTTTATAACAAGAAAAAGCAAGCCTCGATTTATTGCTAAAGATCCATGCTAATACACCTAGAATCCAAGAGCTCTAAATAAAAAGTAGTAATGTAACTAAAGAGATTTTAAACGTATTAATTGTGCATCCATTCCATCTAATGCAAACTCTATCTCCCACAAGTAATAGTTTAACCACTTACCAATTTAATGGAATTAGATTTCGTATACATTTGTTGCATCTCTTCCATTTGCTTTTAGAAAAGTAAAATAAGTAACTTTCATTTGACATTCCGCCGCTGTTCAACTGGAGTCCCAAAAATTTCAAATGTGAGATTGTCACTCAAGTTACTTTTATTCAAGTTTAACATTTCACTTTGACATTTATTCTTGGATATGCTAAAAAATCTACTCCTGAACCGATCATACTCTTGGTTGAGAGTGAATCCCACATCTGAGAAAGGAGGAACTTTGCATGTGCATGCTCAAGCCAACTAGGCAACTACCTAGCTCCCAAGTCAATACGGGTTTAAGGGTTTTTTAGAACTCAAGATTCCATTGTTAACCTGCAACTTGATTAGACTACATCCACAAGGCTTTCCTACTCAAAATGCTTCACCCAACTAAATGCCAATACTTAGGGTTGTTTCAAACCATTGAAACTTGCTTGCATTTGATTAAGGGTTCTCCAACTCAGTTGTGATCAACAAATACTCAATCATAGATTCATAGTAGATACCATTGATTTCTTAATCATCTAAACGATGATTTAGTCGTCACCATATACAAAATAATTGTGGTTCATCATCATGATCTTAATTGTTATCAAAACCATCAATTTCTATTAGTTGTATTTTATGGGGTGTCCAATATGGTAGAGGAACTCCACAAAGAATTTATTCAAGTAAGGTATATAGTATGAAAGATGTCTTAGCAAAGTAATAAATTTGCAATGCAAGGATTCTCTTCCTCTACGGGGCTTTACAATTGAAGTGCAAGTTGAAAACTGAGTCGCAAGAGTAAGCCAAGTAACTCACAAGAGGCATATGAACAGGACTGGCAGCAACTAGTATCATTCGGCGATGTTTAACCTGCAGGTCAAATAGTATCGAGATTCAGCCTCCCCTGAAATACAGAGGCAAAACAAGCTAGAGTAGTGATACTGTATAAAGTTCTAAAAGCAATACATGCGGTCGCCAACAGCCTGTCTAACCTTCTTCCAATACAGTGCTGGAGATCGACTAAAATTACCTCTATCAAGTAGGTTATAACTCAGATTCCTTTGTTAAGAGCAATTTCATCAGATTACACATCTGGTGCAATCCAATCAGATATAATGGGGTTCATTAACATGGTACCGAGCATGGAATCCTTTGCTAATGAATGACGAAATGGCATCTACGGTTCTCCAATTCAATAAGCTTCAGCTAACTAATTAATTCCACGAATAAAATGGTTTCTAACTAGAAACTTGATTGTAATTAAAAAATTCACAGCATTTTATTAGCAAGGTGGAAACTGATTACCTTTATATGTAATTCCTTTAACAACCTGATGGGTTCTTCTCCAAAATTAGTGAGCACCTATCCGTGACTTCTTGGATCAGGAACTTGGTGAACCTTTCTGGCTTCAGCACTTGAAAACTGCCCCACTACACGAGCATGAGGTATGGAGGCTTCTCCACGGGCAAGAGCATCCACATTCTCAAGCAGGTACTTTTCTGGAAGCCTGCCTACTACGTTCCCCTCTTCATTTCCCGCTTTATCTAGGAATGCAAAGTGTGGAATACCCTCAACACCAAACTCATCAAGCTCTTGTTCCCACTTTGTGTTGTCAACATTCAGCATAACAAAATTTACACGATCCCTGCATACAAGAATTGGTGGATAATGAAGAATCTACTATTATCAAAAGAAGAAACTGAACTCTCAGATATTTAGATTCTCAAGTATTTCAGAAAAATAAATAACCAAAAATGGCATTCACTATATTTACGCGTTATAAAGATATGCAATTATAAGCAATAACAAGTTATAACTTGAAGATCATACTTGTACTGCTGCTCAACTTTATACACATCTGGAGCTAATTCCTTGCATACTTCACACCAATCGGCATAGAACTCGACAACAGTAGGCTTCCCATTCGAAAGAGCCTAATCAACCATAAATTACAGAAGATCGTAAGAAAATAACAGCACAAATTTCACATTGAAGATTATGTCTAGATTCATTGACACACATATACATGCTGGAAAACAAAAATTAGCTAACTGAAGTCACGGGGATTAACAAACCAAGATGTGTCTATATGCAATTCGTAAACTTCAGAAAATAAAAGGCAACAAATATGTGCCCAGCTTTTCTGAAAAAGTACAAGAGTGACTGATGTTCAAATTACTACATTGTCCAAGTTCCAGGACGTTTATGATCCGTTGAGGAATAATGTTTGAATCTCACCACTGAAATGGTTGATTTAAACTTAATATCTAAGCTATTGTTTTGAGGATATATGCTTGTCTAGGTTCTCAATCATGCTCATCACAACCACCTACCGACCCATCCACAACACCTCATGAAGCTGGACAAAGTAAAAAGGGTATAACTAATAGGACGAACCTCTTCATAAGGTAATGCAGCAAGAGATAGGTCCTTCAAAGAAACACCAAATCTAGTCTTCCTGATAAGAAAAGCACGACCGCCGCAAGAGTGGAAACCACCGCTACTTGCCTGTTGGTATTCTTGTTTGGAAATTCCGGAGGGCCAGAGCTCGTAGAGGAAGTCGTAGCTTGACTACTGCTATCACTGACAGAGCCTGGCTCAGCAACCGACTTCTCCTGAATTAGAATAGTTGATGAACATAACACCAATCACATTGTAAATTCAACTCGAAAAACTATTCGAACAAGAAATTGAGCCAACGACGGTTCAGATACGCAACGATTAACCAACAAAATACACGCAGCATAATTTAGGGAAGTTTTTACCAAAAACACAGAAGCTTGTCAAATTATTAATAGTGGAAATGCTGCATATATTTACCAGATTACCAAACTTCCAATCCCACAGAGCAAAAATCAAGACAATAAACCACTTTCAAATTACCCAAATCCCAAATTTCATATAAATGTGAAAATCATGGAAATTCCATAATCCTAAAATGCAAACTTTCTCCATCAAAACAATAACTTTGTACTCCACAGTTGAAACCCAGTAAGGATAAATTGGGAAATATGCAAATTATTGAAAGGGAGCTCTTGAAATAGTGATTTATGCCAAAAAGATGGGAGATTTTAGAGGGAAAGATAAAAGCGTACCGTTGTGGAGGGGTCAGGTGGGTTGGGGGTTTGCTGGCAAGAAACGGTCGGAAATCGGCGGTGGTGGTTTGGGAAGTGGAGAGTGGGCTTAACGTAGTGGGGAAGTCGAGGAGTTTGGAAACATGGCCGGGATCTATGGAGGCTAACCGGGTTTGAAGCCACGCGACCCATTTGTAATTTTGCAGATAATCCTGCTGCGACTGCCCTTTTGATTTTAATACTGTTCTAACAGTGGGCCGAAAACTGACTTCTTTTGTGGATGAGAGAAAGGGTTGGGACTTCTTCAAGTCATTTCTCACTTTTCACGCTCCAAGCCTCCAAAGCGCGGTAAGTAAATTTAAGATCTTATGCTTGTAAATACTTTCACCGCTATTAGAGCGTGTGTCGATAAATATATTAATTTTGTAATTTAAGACTGTCACAAGTGGAAGAGCCTAATTAATCAAGAAAAACTTGTCAACGAACAAACCATGTTTGCTTTCTCTTCCTCGACATTTCTTCTACATCCCTCACTCCCTCTCGGCTCACACCATGTCTTTTCTAGTTTCACCAAATTTTATCTCAAATCGACATGCACGAATGTCGTTCTTAAATTCTAAACACGATCTTTTTTATCTCTTAATTTGCGCCTAAACTTAAAGATCAAGTTTAGAATTGACCCTCCCTTGTCCAAAATACTTCTTTGAATAAGTGAACCCAATACTAACCACATCGATGTTATTTCAATCAAAATATTAAGGGTAAAGTACAAAAATTACTTCAACTATTGGTGTCACGACACTTTTTTACCTCATCTTTTAAAATTGACAATGTCATACCTCATCTTACGAATTTGTGTCAATGTTATACCTTCCGTTAGCTTGGCCGCTTACTTTTCAATTAAATGCTGACGTGGCTTGATCCGGGACCCACTTTTTATTAAAAAATTATTAAAAACTAAAAAAAAATTATTTAATATTTTTTAAATATTAAAATAATAAAAAAAAGTAAAAAAAATTATTAAAAAGAAAAACCCTTTCTTCCCTTCCCCTTCTCTCCCTTCTCCCCTTCTCTCCCTTCTCCCCTTTCATCTTCTTCCCCTACCTGCTTAATCTTCAACAAAAAAATAAAATAAAATAAAACTTAAAAACCCATCAACCCCCCCCACCCCCGAAACCCCATACCTGAACCTCCCGCCCAGATCCCCGTCAAACCCCCTCCCCCTCCCCCTCCCCCCTCCCTCTCTCTCTTCTCCCGTCAAACCCCCCCCCCCCGGCCCAAATTTGAAAACCCATCTTCTTCCCCTACCTGTTTTTTCTTTCTTTCTTTCTTTTCTTTTCTCTCTCTTTCTTCTTCTTCTTCTGCAGGTTGGGTGGGTTGGGGGGCGAACGAACTGGGTTTTGGGTTTCCTTTGTTTTTTTTTCCTTCTTCTCTCTCTTCTTCTTTTTCTTCTTCTGCAAGTGGGGGTGGGGGGGGGGGGGAGGGACTGGGCATTTTTATTAGGTTAGGGGGGTGGTGGATTTGGGTTGCAGGTGTGGGAGGGATCTGAGCCCGGGGGCGGGGGGTGTTGGGTGTGTAGAGTGGGTGCGGGGAGAAGATGAACTAGGTTGATTTTTTTTTTTGGGTTGCAGGAAGGGGTTTTGGGGGAAGAAGATGAACATAGGGGAAGGAGAATGGGAGAGGAGGGAGGGAGGGAGGGAGGAGGGTGGGTGCGGGTGCGGAGGGAAGATGAACTGGATTTTTTTTTTTTTTTTTGGGTTGCAAGAATGGGGATTTGGGGAAGAACATGAACATGGGAGAAAGAGGGGAAGGGGTGGGGGGTGGGGGGTGGGGAGGGTAATCGAATCTGATCGTTTTTTTTTTTTTTTTCCTCCTCCTTCTTTCTGGGTTGCAGGAAGATGGGGAGGGGAGGGACGAACAAAGGTTTTTTTTTTTTTCTTCTTCTTCTTCTTCTTCTTCTTCTTCTTTTACTTCTTCTTCCTTCTCATTCTTCTTTCTAGGTTGTAGGAAGATGAGGAGGGGGAGGGACGAACAAAGGTTTTTTTTTTTTTTTTTTATATTTACTTTTCTTATTATTTTAATATTAAAAAAATTAAATAAATTTTTTTAGTTTTTTAATAATATTGTAATGATTTTTAATAGAAAGTGGGCCTCGAATCAAGCCACGTCAGCATTTAACTGAAAAGTAAACGGTCAAGTAACAGAAGGTATAACATTGATACAAATTCGTAAAATGAGGTATGACATTGTCAATTTTAAAAGATAAGGTATGAAAGTGTCGTGAAACCAATAGTTAAGGTAATTTTTTGTACTTTACCCAAACATTAATCATGGTTTGTGCATGATTAGTTTTTTTGTTAGCATGAAAGGAGTTGGATTTTAGCATGATCTTCAGTTGAGTATGAGATTGTCAGTCTTTAAAGACTTTTTTTTAATGAACGATTTTTTTTTTTTGAATCAACGATACTATCCATGCTAAGGAGTGACGGAATGAAGTAAGTCTCATAATAGGCTAACAATAACGTGATTCAAATTTGCATTTAATAAAAATTGAACCTAAGACCTCTCACTTACAAGTGAGAAAGAATATTACTAAGTGGCATATAGAAATGCCTTACAAGTTGCTAATCACGAAATTTACCATCATAATGTAATTACATGCATTATTAGCAATAATTCTCGTTAATTAGCTCATAATTAAATACTTGAAGTTTACAACTTAAAGCACAATCCCAATAATCCAAATTTCACAAAGAAAAAAAAAAAAAAAAACAACATAACCCACACAATCGAAATCGAGTTTTCACTTCTCGATTCCTAACTAACTATCCGGCCCCAAAATCCCATTCACAATCGAAGTCGCCACCAAAACCCCCACAACCTCCGCTCCCACCACCGCTCCAGCCTGTGCCAAACCCCCGAAGCTCAACGCCGCTTCCACCCCTTCCTCAGCCGTTTCAATCCCTCGCTCCACCGATTCTATCCCCTTCTCCGCCGATTCTAGCCCCTTTTCCGTCGTTTCCAGCCCCTTCTCCGCCGCCTCGAACCCTTCCTTCACTATCACCTCCACTTCCTTCTCCGCCTCTTTCACCTTCCTCCTCAGCCCAAACAGCCCAATGTCCTCCGCCTTCACTTCCTTCGCAGCCACAGCTGCCAGCGCCGCCGTCCACGTCAGCGACAGCGCCAACTGTCTCCGCCCGGGTAATGCGAGTCCACGAGGCGGCGCAGGCTTGGAGGCGTGCGCCGGGGAGGAGGTGGAGGTGCGGTGCGCATTGCTTACTTGGTGGAGAGCTAGTACTGATGCTCTTGCTGCCATTTCTTCTCTCAGAAAATTTTGCGAATTTTGATACCACACGCTAACTAACTAACTAATCCTCTAGCATTTTTATTTATTTATATTTAAAATTTTAAAGACGAATATACCCTTGGATTTGTGCACCACACCTGTACGCAACAAAAAGCTGCGTTTCGAGGTTGATAAAGACAAAATTTCCCTCTATAAAATTTCGGTTTTTTTCTTAATCGAGCGCTCTCCATTTTTGCGCCAAGAAAGACAGGGTTTTTGAGCGATGGTCGAAGAAGCATCAGCGTCGGCGTCGGCGACGGCGAGCGAAACACTAACCCAAAACACAGCCTTGGAGTCTCAGAGGTCCAACGAGGCCACCATCACGGAGGTAGCTCAGGGAGGCACCGAGTCTACTTGCAACAACGAAAGCGCGGAAACTTCAGCTGTCAGCTCCAATGGCGATCCCGAAAAGTCGCTCGAGTTTTCCGACGAGCTGATGGAGAAGGGCTCCAAGGCGGTCAAGGACTCTGATTTCGGCGAGGCCACCGAGTGCTTCAGCCGTGCTTTGGAAATCAGGTTAGGGTTTTTTATTTTCCTGATTTTTCTTGCTTGCCTTGCTTCACATTCTGTTTGTTTGCTTATAAATTGAGTTTTCGGGCTCTGTGATGCTTTAAATTTTGCTGCTTTTCTTAATATTTCGTGGATTTTGCTTCCCTAGACATAAACCCTAATTGTTGTCTGTAGGTCAGTTTACCGTCGGTTAAGGTTTACACTATGAATTATGCTTTTTCAATTTTGATATTCTTTGTCAGTTTACCCCCATTTTCATATTTCAAAATTTTTGTATTGTACTGTTGAGCCCTGCTAATGCAACAATTTAGGTGCAGAATTGCGCATTTGATGGAGTCCAATTTCTTTGCCCTGTTACATCGTATTGCATTTGTTTAACCATGGCTTCAAAAAATTTCAAATTCGCAGGATGCATTAGTTATGGTATTAAACTCTGTTATATTGTATTGCATTTGTTTATCCATTGCATTTCTTCATATTCACTTTCTCATTTAATTTTTGCTATTATTTGTACTCTCATATAATCTGCATTAGTTAATTTGCAGACGACCTGTGCACTTTTCTTAGGTGCTTCTCTTTTTTAGAACCTCGTTAGGTATGCTAATTAGTAATTACTATTGATTATGTGAATAAATGCAGGGTTGCACATTTCGGAGAACTTGCTCCTCAGTGTGTCAATGCTTACTATAAATATGGATGTGCATTGCTTTACAAAGCTCAAGAGGAGACCGATCCATTGGGTGCTGTACCCAAGAAGGAGGGTGAATCGCAGCAAGAATCTGCTAAGAATGTTGTAAATGGTAAATCTTCCACAGCTGCTGTTTCAAGTAATGCTGAACAGGATGCAAGTTTGAGTAATCAGGAGGGAGCAGATGCTGATGGTGGTATGTCATTTGTGATGCTTCTCGAGTATAATTGTCTAATAGAACATGTGAATTTCTGTTGGCAGTCAATCATGAACATCTGTGGAATGATAGAGCAGTGAATTCCAAACCTGCTTAACTAGAAGTAAAAGCCATTCAATCTAGCTCTTTGCTTTTTGCATAAATGTTGCACATGTATAATGATATCGTCATCACATATAATGTAATGATATTGCGGTCATGTATTCCTGTAAAAATTGGCGTCATTGATAACTATTGATGTGCATGAGACACTGTGTCTACCTCTCCTTGATGGTACCATAGCTGCTCATACAGATCTACTCCACTACTACTCTTTGACCTCAAATCTATTGGAAAATCAAACGAATCATGCCATCTGTTTGGGAACATATCATGAGTCTCATATCCTATAAAGATTTTGAGATAATAAAATCTGCCAAGAGACACTGTTTTGCACATTGATGAACCGGTAAAAGTCTAAACTTCTATCCTCTGTGTGTGTTTGTGCATGTCTTCTGGTTTAGATGCTTGAGGAATCGTAGCATCATATCGTCAATGTTTTGGATTGTTGTTTAGTGTGTGTATTAAGCAACTCATTTGACAGTATATTCCATGTAAGATACGGAGACATAGAGTCTAAATAGCTAAGAAGGATATAAAGGACATAAGATTAGGTATATACAGACCTGTCAGATGATACTTGCTGTCCTAAAACGGATTTTTGAGAATAACTTATCATTATTTGTTATCATTACATTATGAAGTTTAATAGTTCATTTTCTTTTCTGAGGCAGTTTCTAGTGGAAAAGACAAAGATGAAGATGATGATAGCGATGATGAAGACCTGGCTGAAGCAGATGCAGATGAAGATGAAACTGACCTTGATTTGGCATGGAAAATGCTAGATGTGGCAAGAGCCATTGTTGAAAAAAACCCGGCTGACACATTGGAGAAGGTCGACATATTATCGGCTTTGGCAGAAGTTGCACTGGAAAGAGGTCTGTTGTGTACTCAGTTTGGTTGAATTGAAATCTGTGTATAGTAGGTGAAGAGGTTCTTGAACTTCACTATAATTTTTGGTTCATTTCTTCTGAAAACATCTTTATTTGGCCTTACATTGTGTCTCCTTGTAGAGGACATTGAAACTTCTCTCAGTGACTACCAGAAAGCACTTTCCATTTTGGAGCAGTTGGTTGAGCCTGATAGTCGACGTATAGCTGAACTGTATCCTACTCGGGATTTACATATAGCCTTTGAGTTCATAACTGTTACTAATAAGAGATTCTTTTCTATATTTTTGTTTTATTTTATTCTGGTTTCCCCCTGTTCCCACTGGGTCAGGGACTCGCAACCTTAACTGGAGAATTCAGAAATTTTCGGATATGTTTGTGTCTAGAGATTGGCTCTAAGCCTGAGGAAGCCATTCTGTATTGCCAGAAGGCTATATCAACCTGCAAGTCTCGTGTGCGGCGGCTCATGCTTGAATCAAGGAGTTTGACGGAATCCACAACGTCGTTGCCTGCTTCTGTATTGGAGCCAGGTGTCACGCTCTCCTCAAATATGACCAAGTCTGATAATATTGTGACAGATATACAGGCAGAGATTGAAACACTAACTGGACTCGCTGGAGATCTGGAAAAGAAGGTATCTAATAATATTTCATCCTTTAATTTTAAAAATGGAAGACAGTCACGTTTATGTTTTTTCTGATTTTTGCATTATTGAGTTTGTAGCTTGAAGATCTGCAACAACTGGCGTCAAACCCAAAATCCATTCTCGCTGAGATTATGGGATTTGTGTCTGCCAAGGCAAAAGGCACTGAGAAAAGTGAATCTCCGTCAGTGATTAGCTCTTCAAGGATGGGAACTGCTGACAACAATGGAGGTTTTGACTCCCCAACTGTATCTACTGCTCATACGAATGGAGCTTCTGGAGTCACACATCTTGGTGTGGTAGGAAGAGGAGTCAAGCGAGTGTTGATGAACACAGGCTCGGGAGAATCAAGCGCATCGAAGAAACCTGCTTTGGATTCATCGCAAGACAAGGGTGAGGGAAATGCGTCATGAAGGTCGTGGATTCCCGTAATTGTATGAACAGAATTGGGAAATCTAGGTTATATTCTGGATTCCAGGATTATACGCGAAGGGATTCCTAGTTAAATTCAAGCAGACTTGTAGTTTTAGTTGTATGTGATGTACCTTACTATTTAATATTTAGAAATTGAGATCATGAACTCCTTGATGGCCGTGGTTAGTGGGATATTTTCCATGCGATTAAAGATTAAAGTTGATGCTGGTTTGTAATGGATCATAATCTTGCCAGGTCCTTTTACTTGGGGATTTATTTTTGAAATTCTATTTACTCAAGTGAAAAATTGTACCGAGTCCATGAAAATTGAATGCGAAATGAAACCCTAATAAATTTTGTTTCTCTCTATTTTGGGCACTCGCGCAGTCACTCTTATATTTGATGTTGGAGGTGAAGAATGAATGTATGTGCTTTCGTGTTTCAATTTGTATCATTGATATTAAATTCAAAGGTAGATGACCGTGAATCCTTAGTTACCACGGTGATCAACGAGATGAGACTATGAAACCCATATGGTGATAACTCATCAACTTTGAATTTTCTCAAATGATTTTAAGCTTATACTTACGTAACGTATTTCGTTTCCATTTCCACCTCATTTTCAACATCGGGGTGGCCATTTAAGCCAGGGTTTGGACCTGGTTATCGCCACTCGACTGGACGGATCGGTTTGCCTCTGGTTTTCAATTTAGTCCAAAATAAAAAAATTTGGACTGGAGCCAGATTTATTGCTATGATTGACATTTCTTATGAACGCAGGAGCAGCTGATGAACATGTGAGACAAAGTTGTTCTTAGTTCCTACCATCTCAATGCTTCATGGGGTCCTTTTCACATTTGAGGCACTATTGCCGTCCTCCATTGTCATCTAAATGATATTACTGATTGGAATCGTTCAGTCATCTAAGTCCAACTGATATTAAATAAATAAATGAGTCCAATATATTGCAAACACAAAATTATCACATTTGTTAATTAAATGACCAAACGATTTTCAATTTTATTCATTCCTAAAAAATGAACGATTTCAATTATCATACAACGATGCAGGACGATCAAAAATAAAAAATTAAACCATAGGAGAATAAAAGCATCTCAACCAAAACACATTGTAACATTCGAAAACATGTGCCGAAATTATTCAAAATGCATTTGGTTATTGCCAATAAAATATGTGAAATACTATGCAAGGAGTATAACAATAAGCGATAGCTTCAACACTAAGTAACGAGGGGCATTTGAGAGCATTGGGACAAATAAAGTCGATGACATCAAAGAGAAAGAGACTGCATATATACAACTGGAATTGGATAATATGGGAAGCAAAGCAAGAAACAAACATCCACCCGATCTCCACAGAAAGAAAGCAGAAAACTTGGAGTCAAAATCAAGGGTTGTTTGTTGTCGAAATCAAAAAGGGATGTGTTTCAGAGTGGAATGCAAGCAATGTGGGAAGACGTCGTGGGGAGGATGTGGGAAGCACTTGAAGGATCTCTACGCTGGCATCGAGCAGGGAAAGCATTGCATGTGCCGCTCATGGCCTGGTGTTGCCGTACCGAACCAGCATCAGGGTAAGACAGCTACTCAGCAACAATCTCTGGCTTCTGCCTCAGGTATCTATCTATATGTATATTATCTAACATCATTTCATGCTTTTTTTCTTCATATGATATTGTGTAATAGTGGTACTACACACACACACATACATATAATATTTGGTATGTTTTATATGTTAGACCTTAAGCATGGCATATGTGTTTACCCACTATTAATTAAACAAGACAATGTTCTCTTGTTATACAATCTAGCAATTTAATACAGTGACATAGTGTACGTGATTCTAAATCATAAGTTTCGACAACAATTAATCCAATTAATTGTTCAAATTTACAATCTAACAACAATAACATGTTATATACATTACCCGACAATATGGTAATATAACATGAATGATATCGCTGTGCTACAATGGATTTGCCACCAACTCCATTGTTACCATACATGAAATTTTTCAATGTTACTTTGATGTTCTCCTTGACTAAGGCTTCCTAGGACCATATATTCGACAAAATGCCTCAAAGAGGTTAAGGCATGGTAAGGAGGCAAGGGAAACTATGCAAAGGGATGCACGAGCTTATTCTTTTCTCCTTGTGAATAAAAATTTCTGAATCCATCACACTTCGATATTAGTCAAGCAAATGATATCTTATACCATCCAACAATATAATGTCTGTTTTGTTTGAATGGCTTAAGTTAATATCTATGTTTATTATAAATTAGGGTTTAGGGTTTAATCCATAGTAATTTCTATGTGCAGGTAAGTAAGTGGCTTGCAGGTGTCTCCTCCCTGCGGTAGCATAATAGCAATAGAGATTTGGAATAATGGTAGCTAAAAAGCCAGTTTGGGATGAATATCATCGTATTCATCTAGGGTTTTGCTTAATTTAAATTTGGAATAATGTGCAGGTTATGGTCAAGAGGCATTTGACCAACTCCAACCTGCCTTTTTATTTTTCTCGTGTTTGGATTTGAATAATGTTAACAATAACTAGAATTATATATTCCCTCTAATCTTGTGGATGCTGCTCCTTAATGATTCAGCTTACCCCTTCACGGGTTTTGATTAGCCTTAACAATTTCTTACATAATTCGTTAATCTGACACGAAGCAATACGAAAAATAACAGATTTTGGATCAACCTATTAACGAGTCGGGTCATTATTAAATCACCTGTTAAGAATCTCTTAACAAGTCGGATCGTTATCAAATCCCTCGTTAAGAATTCGATAAGTCAGATCTAGACATTAGGCATGACAATTTTTTGCATGACATGTTAACTTGACAAGACCCGTTAACGAATCGGGTCATTATCGATCACATATTAAGAACCCATTACGATAACGGATTTGACACAACACTGCTTGCTAAGATAACAGATATAATGCAAAAACGACACGAACATAACAAACACGACCTTTTTGTCAAACTTAGTTTTTTATGTCTTCCTTTCTTTGGATGGTTGGTTTCTCATGGTTTTTGTGCTCCCTTACTTTAATCCCACTTGTAATTGTTTAATGAGCAATATTGATGAGAGAGAGAGAGAGATTTGAAATTATATGAAGATGATGAAGGATATTATGAATTTATAGAAGTGGGGCTTTCTAATCTTCCCAAATCAACATTGTGACCCACATTAGACTTTTGAAAGATAGATTATGTCATGTAATCGAGTGTATACATTCATGATTATACATTATAAAATTTTTCCTATTTCGACGAATTTAATGTTATATACGAGCAATGTAAAAAAATAGAAGGAAAACAAACATAACAACTTTGGATGCAGGGTAAACGCCTAAAACCACGTAAGCTCCATTCCATTTTCTTCATTTTTGGGTTTTTATAGCTTGGCATCTTATTGTCTTTTCACTTAGAATCGGTCGTGAGTTGGTGTGTGCTCAAATGACCCTCCCCACCCTTCTTTTATGCATTTTATCTAATCATTAGTTACCAAACAACGTGAATACAAAGGTCTAATCAATCACAATTAGTCCACCATTTGTATGATTGATTCATCTCTCTTTTCACTTAAAAATCATTAAAAAAGAAATGCATCTAATTACTATTAAATCAAGAGAAATGTTAAGGATTTTACCTCAAAACTGAGATTTTTCAAACTCTTCGCTACCTCTTGTTTTTTGTACAATTTTCATATCAATATTATTAATTATTGTAAAAAACATGAGGTGGCGGAAAGTTAATAAAAAATCTAACATTAAGAGAGTCTCTTTCACATTTTTCTTAAGGGGTAATGATAGGGATGCTAAATTTGTAAATTAAATTTTATAAACTAAAAAAATATGAAAGCTAATGATTGGTTTATTACTTAAATGTTGATAAACATACTCTTTTCTATTGATGACATATCATTTAGTTTACAAATTTAATTTCTAAATTTAGTCTTCTTAACATTATTCATTTTCTTAAATCAATGACAAGATTGAGTCAGAAGCAAAGTGGAGAGGAAGTAGAATAATTTTCCTAGGGATCTTAGAGATCTCATGATCGTGACCGTTCATCATACATTATGCACGACGTATGATAAATGGTCACGATCACGAGATCCTTAGAACCATGAGAAAAAGAATCCGATGAGGATCCTTTTCCGGATGGAAGAGTTTGTTTGTCTTCCCAGTGGCACTGGTCCCTATGGCTGACATCATCATCATCATCATCACCATCTCTCAATCCCTTCTAATCACAATAAAATAATTCAATATAATAACCAAAGATAAACAAATCATGTTTAATTAACGGGTAGTTTGATTAACATTAAAAACAAAAGATTAGTACTTTTATACTATGATGTGACCAATTTCAAATTTAAACAGCTCTCAGTTTTCTCAGTGGGTGCATGGAAACATTCAATGCACTCTGCTTTTCTCCGTCTGTTTCATTAATGTAAACCATAAATGCAAAGGACCAAATAACGGTCCGACATGGACACAGATATTCTCCGAATCTGAGCTTAGGGATCAATAGATCTGGACCATTGAAATTTGATTTAACGGCTACAATTATTATAACTTTTAGGGGCTCCTATTTGTAACCGTTGAATTAAATTTCAATGACCCGAATCTATTGATCCCTAGGCTCAGATCTGGAGATGATATGTGTTCGTCCAACACTACTTAGAGTCGATATCTTGGTATAAATGCATGAGAGTTAGGGATAATCTCTGGATCCCTTCCTCTTAATCCATCAAATTCAGATATTCGGACCATTGAAATTTGATCAAACGGCTACAAACAGGGACCCACTTTAAAAGTTATAATAATTTTAGCCGTTGGATCAAATTTCAATGATCCAGATATCCAAATTTGGTGGATTAGGTGGAAAGGATCCGAAGGATCCATTTCCCCCCTTTTTGGACTTTCAAACACATTGTTCAAAAACAAGATGAAGCTCCCTCACTTTCTTTCAAATTTTAATCATCAATAAACAAATAAAATATTGCAATCAACTTGTAATTCAAGTAGTTAAGAGCGATAAGCACTGTCCCTTTGGTGTCCTCCTCCAACTGGTTGGATTAAGATCAATGTAGATGGTTTTTTTCTTGCAGCCTCGAACCTGGGTGGTGCAGGTGCGGTATTTTGCGACGAAGCCAATAGCTATGCTGGAGGTTTCGTTCGTCAAATATCCCCTGCTCTTAACCCCACAATGATTGAATTGTTAGCTGTTCGTGATGGTGTTTGTTGGGCTATGCAAAGGAATTTGCCACAAATTATTGTAGAAAGTGACTCTTTGCAGGTTGTTCAAGCTATGGCAGCCTCAAGCAAGGTGCGTCTCACATGGACTTATTGGTGGAGGACATTCGAACTAGCTTGCAGGGATTTGAAGCTTCGTAGGTTTGCTATGTTTACTAGTTTGCTAACGTCGCGGCACATTGTATGGCCAAGTTGGCTCTTTCTTCTTCCTCTGATTTTTGTTGGTTTGAGGAGCCCCCGAATTTGAAGTGGGTGCCCTCTTTGATTATATATGATCTATTTTCTATCTCAATAAAATCACTACCGTTTCTATTTGCTATCTCACCATCCTATTTATTATCTTTAAATTAGTTTAAAATATGAGATATATATAGTAGATAAACATAAATCTTAAAATTTAAACTCATCTAACAGTGAGAAACAGAGTGGCGAATATTATTACCACTTGAAAGAGGTGAGCAAAAAATGCACCAGTTAAGAGCAATATCACTTGAAAAAGAAAAACTAATGAAAACATATGCATGTTAATTGGAACCTAGATTTTAGGGTTTGTAATGTTAAAAAAAAAAAAAGGACTATTCATGTTGGTAAAGCTTCACTAGAAACCAAATACTTCATATTTTGGACAAAACAAAAATCCAAATACTAGAGTCCTCATAATATTCTAGCTTTCACAAGCTTCGAAGTATGAACTATTGACATCCAATAATACCTTATGAGGGCCGGCCCACCAAATTACAAAGAGGACTGTGGCTTTCTGTTAACTCATACGGGGAGTTGAGAATTTGTACTGGTCTCACCAGAAGTAGGTTGTTCCTCACTCCCATGGATTTTCCCAACAGTTTAAAAACTACTTACTCTAACACTCTTGATTAAGAATTTAAGATGCGGATAAGTAACAATGACTTCTTAGGGCATGTTTACATAACAAGAATAGAAGGAAGGGAATGGGAATTGCACTACTTTCAAAGGATTCCAGGTGTCTACCAACTGGCGGAATGAAAGTGTCGGTGGGGCCCATCAAAAATGGGGAATCAGGTTACTGATTTTCCCGGAATTGGACTACCGAACAATAGGTGGTATTCGAACTCCCGGAGAAAGCATCCATCGGGAATCAACTTTTGCTGCCCAATATACCCTTATCTCATTCTTCCTTCAACCTCTATCTCTGCTCTCTCTATCAAAATAAGATTTAGCAGGTTTCATGGCCTGCGGGATTATGGTTTCATGACCAAAATTAGAAGAGAAGAAGATGAGGAATTTGTAGAGCAGGTGACTGGTGCTTTAGTGGCGACCCAAATTACTTCCTCGGCAACAACTAAAATCACTTCGATTCATCATCGACTCGTGCGTCAGTGACGACCCAAATTAAACATTTACAAAATCAAGAACAGATGACGAGAGAGGAATTTGTAAGGGAGAGAGAGAGAGAGAGAGCAGGCGCCTGGTGATGATTGGAAAGACTCTGGCTATGGGGTAAGGAAAAGAGATGGGATAGGACAGAGGGAGGGTCACGATAAAAATGAAAAGAAATGGGAAGATAGAGATGGGGAAGGAGAGGGTCTCAATAAAAAATGAAAAAAGAAAAAGAATAAAAGTTTTACTAAAGAAAAACTATACTCTTTACCATAAAAAATAAAATAAAAAAGTTTAACTAAAAATAATTAGCATATAAATTAGATTAGTTACACTAGGGGTATTTTAGCAATCATGTTAATTTTCATTCCGATTCAAGTGAATTAGTAAACAGATTATATAATTGATATCATTCCTACTCCGATTCCAGACAGTTTTGGTAAACAACTCCAACATGAATCTAATTATGTTTCCTCCTTAATCCAATTCCTTCTCAATCTGATTCCTCCTCAATTCAATTCCCTTCAATTTGATTACGGATTAGTAAACGCGCCATTAATTCTTATTAGGGATGAACAAAATACCTATGGGTTTGGGTAACTGCAGTTATCCGCTCATTTAAAGTTCACGGTTACGGTTATGGGTAACCGTTTAGACGAACGAACGGTTATGGGTATAACCGTTTATCTGTGAAATTTAAATGGGCAGTTATAACGGGTATCCATCGGTTATGCGTATTACCCGCGGTTATAAAGAGTATCCATCGGTCCTGATTGACCAAGTACTCTATATCTATTGAAAAAAAAAAAAAAATTCTTTCGAGGATTACTTTGCATCAATAATATTCTCTTGAACCTGCAATGGAAATTAAATTGGACTTCTTTGGTTTTGCATTGCATGAGAGGAAGGAAACAGAGAATTGTTTGAATAAAACGCT